TGATCCTGTGAGGACGAGACTTGTTGGTTAAGGAACCGTTGTCCTGAGTTCCTTTCAAAATATCTCCTGTCTTCTCTTCTCAGGAACCCATCCTGAATATCGACCTGGGACCGACTTTCTTGGACATTGCAGGAATCAACGCCTCTCAGACCAGCATGGATGGTGTCTCCTTTTTGTCTCTCTTGGTAATAAGTTGCCTTGAACTTTGGAACAGAGTCCGATGGGAGAGTCCAGTTAGAAGCAGGAACAGAGGAGGCATTTTTTCCCCAGCATTTGCAGTGTTTACCAAGGCTGGTTTTGCTCAGAACCTGCATGTGGAACTTTTATGTGTTGCGGGATCACACCGCAGAATGTGAACCTGAGATTCAAGGGGCTTAAGCAGATCTCTAATCAATTCAAGTGAACAAACCGTGAGGGTCCTGCATGGGTAGAGACCACTGTGCCATTTCCATAACTTTAAATATTCTTCCAAGTGTTTTGAACATACAATGACTGGAAAAAAAATGGAATAGGATAAAAAAGAAAAGAAAGAAAGAAAGAAGGGAGGGAGGGGAAGAAAGAGAGAAAGAAAGAAAGAAAAAGAAAGGAAAGAAAAAGAAGAAAAGAAAGGAGGGAGGGGAAGAAAGGGAAAGAAAGAAAAGAAAAAAGAAAGGAAAGAAAGTAAGAATGAAAGAAAGAAAGAAAGAGAAAGAAAGAAAGAAAGAAAGAAAGAAAGAAAGACAAACTGGCCCAAGGTCACCTCGCTGACTTTGTGCCTGAGGCACGACTAGAACTCACAGCCTCCTAGTTTTTAGCCTGAGACTGTAACCACTATTCATTCACACCATTTATCAGCAGGCAAATTAGCCTTGAGGAGACTCTTCATTGGGACTTTTCTGGATTGTCCAGCAAGACGTTGGTTGGAATTCCCTGGATAGCATGGCAGTTTCCACTTAATTAGTTTATTAAAGAATCTTTTAATCTTTCTCCATTAGGTTAAGTGGGCAATGAAGCCTGACAGGGCACCAAAGGAAGTGTCTAAAATATATTTAGAAATTGTTACAGAAAAAGAGAGAGCTTTCTATTCACGTCTGCTTCCTGAAATGTGTCTCCTTTTGTGCAGGTGAACAAGACACAGAGATCTAGGTGGCGATCAGACTTCCTAGTTCAATATAATGGAGAAGGCTACACAACCAAGGACCCCGAGTGTCCGGTCTTGGGACCAGGAGTGTCTGTAAGTGACCTTACTTCTCTAATTTTCACATATTAGTCCATAGTTCATTACAAAACATTGAGTCTGCTATTTACACCCATGACACGTGCTCAGAAGGCAGCTTCCTCATTTACAAGTATTTACTTTAGTTCTGAAAGACACTCAACCCTGCTTACCTTTATCTTGGTAATTTTAGCTGGCTAAATTTCCATTTGTTTTGCATGTAAAGAAAACATTTGTAGGAAGAGGAGACAATGTGTAGTTCTGGTTTAATAAGTAGCTGCGGAAGACCCCAGCAAAAATGGTGGGCTGTTCTGTAGAAAACTAAAAGTTCCCCTACCCATCTAGCCAGCATGGCCAATGGCAGGGGATCATGGGAGTTGGGATGCGAAAGCTCTGGGTAGTAGAATGTGGTCCTTCTTTAAAAAAAGTCATTCCTCTATGAGAAAGAGGACAGATCTTAGAAAAACCCTTTTTGTGTCTAATTGCACCCCTGTCTGTGTTGATGCTCTGTTCCCATAAGGGTCAACCATTACTTAGGTGCTTAGCAGAGCAAAATCATGGAGGAAGGATGGGAGAAAGGTCTAACAAATGAACATTGTCTCCTTTGACTTCCGAGAAACGGGCTCTTTTGCCTTCCTAACAGCAATTCCGTTCAGGAATGACATTTCTGTTCCAGACCAGGCTGGCACATTTGCCTAGGCAAAGCAGCTCTTTGCTTAGCCCTCCACATCATTTTCCTACAGCTCAACTCAAGCTGTCCGACCTGTAACAGCTTGAACCTCCACATAAGAACAATCCTTGGCTCCATTTGTTGAGAAAGATACAGTTTAGAAGTCAAGTGTATTGCAGTAACGCAAAGCCCAAACGGAGATTCGCGTGCCAAAATCAATAAGTCTAGCCCCCACTTTTGTTTACCTTTCGCTGCCCACCGATCAAGTTCCTGCAGGATGTTTCCATAATGCTCAGCTTGAAACCAGGTTGGTATGCAGCTCCCTTCTTCCAGCTGGGTGACCTTGGAGTGGCATCTCTGTCTTCATTTCCCCCCCCCCCAAGCATCCCCCTCCCTTCATTTCCCCTCCCCACAGTTCAGGCAGATCATCATGGTGGAACAATGACGCACAAACAAGCATAAGGTGGCAGCTGACAGGGACCTAAAACGCTGCTGAGAAAGAGGTTGTCTTGCATTCTCACAAACCTGGGTTGACATGGTCTCCCCCCTCCCCTGGGCACCTAGTCTGCCACGTGAGAGCAGGAGTAGGAGAGTTGCTGTGATGGAGGACAATGAAATGGATGTCCTGTAAAGGGTTGGAGAAGGGAATGAATTTTCTCCTTTTCCTCTTATTTATGGGAGCTTGGAGGTTAATTGGGCCCATGAGATGGTTGTGCTGTTATGGATAGTTGCTATTATTCTCTGTTGCCGTTATGCATATGTGCTGTAGATCAACTTTATTTGTGTCTTTCGCTCTGTATAAGCCAGTAAGAGTGGCTGTTGAAAAAATGAGCAGCTATATCAATTGACTAGAATCAATGCAAAGGTAAAGAAGTCCCATCAGATTTTACTCTGCTAGTTGTTGCCAACTATAGGTGGGGGGTCCTCATCTCTGTTTCAAGGCCCTTCAGCCAGCACTATCCAAAGACGTTTCTGTCACCTCACCAGCCGTGTCTGTTCTTGGCAGAAGAATGCAAGTTCTTGGATAGACATTCGGTTCACAAAGGGTTTTCCAACTCTTATTTTGCGCAGCAATGTTTCCCTGACTGCGTGTGTGAGGATGCCTACAACAACACATATGCCTGTGTGCGAACTTTGAGTGCTGCGAACATGCAATACTGTGAATTTGCCGATAAAGAGGTAAGCAGCCATCTTCTCTAGTGTCAAGAGGTCCAGAGAGCTGGGTCCGTGGCCTTCAAGAATGATCATGTAATGCGCAGAGCTTCTGGCATCAGGAAAATACCTTTCCATTAGGATTATGTTGACAAGCAAAGTCTGTCGGGGAGGTGCTCTGGGGCAGGGTCCCCAACCCCTGGGCCGTGGACCGGCACCAGGCTGCAGCATGCCAGAAACCGGGCTGCGCAAACAAGCAAAGCCCCATCTACGGGATGCAGGTAGCACACAAAACCATGTATTCTCCGGTCCGCAGAAAACACCTCTCTCTACGGTCCCTGGTGCCCAAAAGATTGAGTTAAACGAAGTGTTGGTGGAAGGACAGCTGTAGAGAGCAGAAAGTAGTGTAGTGGGATGCAGTGTTCCCAGTTTGCCTTCTGGAAAATGAGTTTGACCAGATATAACAAAGGAGCTATTTCTGTGGGCAGGCAAACAGCACAAAGCACAGGGAAAGATGCCTTCAAAATTCCTATTCCTATTTGCAAGTCCACGAACTGGTATATTATTTTTGCGCCCTACTCGCCCATCAGCCAGAAAGCTTCCCCAAATGGTTCATGGATCAGTTAAAAAAGACCAGCCTTATCCTGACGCGAACAGTCACAGAAGACCTGATTAGGAAGGTGGGCAGGGGTGAGAGACCTTCAAAGAGACGAGTCTTGTTTTTATGGTGACTTCAAGAAGTTCAAAGGGTGATTCTCCCAGGTTGGTTCTGCCGAGTGGATGGAGTCTTTTTCCAGGTTTGAAGGCAGTTGGGACCACCTTGTAAGAAGAAGACTGTGTTGATGGATGTTGGCTTCTCAAGGATTTCCTTTCGGAGAGGTTGCCTCCTGACCGTCACTGCACGTCCTACTTTTTTCTTGCAGAATTTTGTGGAAGTCTACAATCTGACTGCAGACCCCCATCAGCTTTCTAATGTAGCCAAGACCGTGGACCCTTCGCTGCTTGTGCAGATGAACCAGAAGCTGATACAATTGCAGGCTTGTTCCGGTGTCAGCTGCCGTTCCTGAGGGTTTGAGCACTTTGGCTAGGACCAAGAACCCAAGACACCTCTCCCTTTCCTTGTGATTTTGTGGCCCGGCTTCCTTCTGTCTCCCAATGGAAGCCAACCTGATGCTGCCTTTTAATTTAGGATTGCTCGGTCTTGAACCCCAAGTTTGGACTTTGCTGTGCCGGAATAGTATTGGGGTAGAGCAGAAAGGGAAAAATATGGGGTGAAGAGCAAAGGCTGTCACCCAAGAATTTCCAAACTTGTTATTCTGGGAGTTGCACAAGTCTAAAAGTGGCCAAGGGTGTAACAACTTTAAAAGACACCCTGTGAAATTCTAGTGCCTTGTCTCCATTGCTTATCTTGCCTCGTTTTGGCCAGGCAGTGGGCAATGAGGTCTCACTTCAGAGCGAAGAACATACCTGACCCAGCCAGTGCTGACCTTCTCAATTTGAGGCTGTCCGAATGTTCTTGGACTACAGCATCCTGCGGCAACTGTCATCTTTGTGACTACATATCCCACCGTCCTCTGCTCTGGTTAGATGAGGGGTGGGGAGGATTCTTTCCGCTTAGCCATTGATTAACACAGAACGAATTAACATGGGGTGGCTTACCTCCGTGATCATCGCCTTCCTTTCTCGTGCTGGCTGAGATCTTGGGAGGCTCTGTACATCCCTCCAGCGATCATGGTGCCTAGTTGGACACTTTTACCAGGTCCTCTTGTGTAGTCCCTGGGGATGATTGCAGTTGCTTTGTGTCTTCATACTGTGAAAAAAAATTGGAATAAAGCATTTTTCTCATTAGAAAAGATGGTCTTGCATTTTTGTGTCGTCCCTGATATGGAGACTCCTGACCATTGGGCTTGTCCCAACTGGCCGTTTAGAAGAGAAGAGCCTTTGAGTGCATTCGTAGTGAAAGGTGTACTTTTACTAAAGCCAAATGGTTACAAGATTGGAAAAACGAGAAACATTTGTGTGTGAAAAGGGCCTACTTACTTTCCCAGACCCTCTCCCCCCCATTATCTGTTTAGTGTCCAATGGGGTTCAAACAAATTGTTTTGGTAACAGTTCCGATTCTTGGCAGGTTCGGTGACGATCTGCATTCCATTCCCACACTTGTAGCTTTGGGGTCAGCCAGCCGATTCGGTTTCTGGTCTTTCCCCCACCCATGTTTTGGCTCTCCCTCTTTCCTTCGGGGCTCATGGCAGTCTGGCATCAGGGAAGCAGAGATGGGGCAAAGCAAGATGGCAGCACTGGCACTGACATTACAACTGCGCCAAGACGAGCTTGTACATCTCACTAAACAATAACTTGGCTATCTTGGTTTAATTTGTGACGCTGCTCCTCTTGGCACTTTTTCCAGAGTTTTAACATCCCTATCCTGTCAGAACTAAGCCTTCCATCTCCCCCATCCTTCTGTCCGAGCCAATGAAGCCTCTTGAATGAGAAGCGAAGCATCTTCGAGGCAGAACAGGAAAAAAAGTCCAGTTTTCTTTTCAAAAAGCATCTTTGCAACAACCCAGCCCTGCCATACCCATTAGCTGAAGCCATCTCCCTTTCCCACCTCCCCTTTCCAATACCTGCACAATATCTATGCAAATGGGCAAACAAACTCCCGTCTCTCCAGTGCAAGAGATTCAACTGGGCACGGAAGACCTGCTTTGCTTCAGCATGGTAAGAGATCGTGTGCTATTATTTTGGGGGGGAAGGGTTGAGGATGATGGGTAGGAAAGACTCCTAAGGGAAACAGAGAATGCTTGTGGAATAGCACAAGGACTTTCTTGTGGGGAAGATCCTTCCAATTAAGTCCAGCTCACTAACCGCCTCTTGATGTGAGAATGAATCTTGATCTGTATTGTGGTGGGACTTTAGTGGCCATCATGCTGAGAACAAGTCCCCATAATTAGGTTCACGCAATGCATTCAATCAAATTTGGCAAATGTTGAGATGTCTGAAGTCCCATTCCTCTCATCCTGTGGTTGTCTAGACTTTTGCAGCCCTGATTGGGAATTTTTCCTGATCAACCAAGTACATCACCAACTCGTGTTGTCTGGAAGTTTTCATTTTCCGGACACTTCGGTATTGTTTGTACAGAAGGGGTCCAATGACCAAATTCACACTGCTCAAAGATTGTGTTGCGCAAACTCAAGCATTCTGATTTATAAACCGGGACACCAAGTAATAACTAAGCTATATATTTTAAAAAAATATCTTTTCTACAACCACTATTCCTGTACCCTGGCCGTCCTACTATAATCTGAAACTGGCATGATACCTATTGTAATTAAGTTGGCCATTTTTACATACCTGTGTGCTTTTCCGATCCCTTTACAGTATCATATACTTCTGCATATTTGGAAACACCTGGGTGTACAAAAGAACAGTTGGGAACTTGTTTGAATTAGCTTCACTTATCCCCAGACTGTCAATGCTACTAAAGTTTGGTATGTGGCCCCATCAATGATTGGGAGAGGAAGATGTTGATGACATTTTCATTCTGATTTCTCTTTCTCTCTACAGAATATATTTGGGAAGAATAAGGCTCCGTGAGTAACAATCTCTATGGAATTTTATGGCATAAAGTCAGATCAGGAAATATACTGAATAAACTGTAGACATGAGGTCTAAAGAGAGAGAAAGAAGAGAGAGAAGAAAGAGCAGAGTATCTTAGAAGGTCTTGTTCAAAATCAGCTACCATAATCAGTTCACTGATTTTTACCTTCTGAGGCAGGATGTGCCTCAATTCCAATTATTGATTTGTTTTATTTATAGAATATTCTTTATGTTCTTTATTAGCCAAGTGTGATTGGACACACAAGAAATTCTATTCCTTGTGCGTCCAATCTATTCTAATTCTAAGTCCAAGTTCTATTATAAAAAGGTTCCATGACTGCATTTTTGGTCTTCTATGACCGTTAAGCTGTTGTGAAAGATGATGCTGGTTGCCATCTAGTGTTCTTCATATGCCGTCTATGCGTAGATTTTCAGAAATGTTCTAAAATTTTATGGAAGCCAGATGAGCATGGCTTCAGGTTGGAGACCAATGGGGCAAGGGGGGAGAAGGTGTCATGCATGCCTTCTTGAGTTCTTGCAGATATAAATTGACCCAATAAAATACAACCCAAGTTAATTGGCAGGTTTTCTTTGCTCTGGCAAGAGAATGAGATGGTAGTAAGCTTGCAAAGTATTTTTGGTGATGAACATAGGAAATAGGGACCTTTCGGGAAGGCTCTAGATTCACCATCTTTGTCTGTGGTCCTTAAAGGTCTGAACTTCCACCAGAACCTCCAAAGAGACCAGGTAAGTTATAGATTCCATCCCATTGGAATGATCCTGTGGTTTTTAATACTGAAAGTTCAACTTCCTTATCAAGGACTGTACTTGGCATCTTCCTCAGCCTACAGAAAAGAGCACATTATTCATTAACCACATAATAATAATAATAATAATAATAATAATAATAATAATAATAATAATGATAAAGTTGGAAGGGACCTTGGAGGTCATCTAGTCCAACCCTCTGCTCAGGCAGGAAACCTTATACCATTTCGGACAAATGGCTGTCCAGTTTCTTTTAAAACTTCCAGTGTTGGAGCATTCACCGCTTCTGGAGGCAGGTGGTTCCACTGGTTAATTGTTCTAACTGTCAGGAAGTTTCTCCTTAGTTCTAGGTTGCTTCTTTCCTTGATTAGTTTCCACCCGTTGCTCCTTGTCCTGCCTTCAGGGGCTTTGGAGAATAGCTTGACTCCTCCTTCTTTGGGGCAGCCCCTGAGATACTGGAACCCTGCTATCCTGTCCCCCCTCGTCCTTCTCTTCATTAAACTAGACATACCCAATTCCAGCAGCCGTTCCTTATATGCTTTAGCCTCCAGTCCCCTGATCATCTTTGTTGCTCTTCTCCGTACTCTTTCTGTACTCTTTTTAAGAGACCTCCTAAAAGTGGGCTTGAATCCCAGTCAACAAAATGGCAGAATTTCTCTTAAGTGACACCGCCAGACTAAGAGCGATCAGCCTAGAATCCTTAGATAGTCACAAAGAACTAAGTCTGATTTCCCTTGAATTCCATGGACCCTGCATCCAAGCAGATGCTGACTGTTAGTTGAAAAGATTTTTGTGTGTAGACCTGATTAGCAATACATCAGTTTAATTGGACTTTCACACGTAGACCTGGTTTTTTGCCCCTGACTTTAATAGTGGAGATATCACCTTGTGTTCTCACTTCTGCCTCTCTTCTGCTGCTTTTATGGACCTAAAAACCGGAATATGTAAAGGCTGCAAGCACCCTTTGAGACTTTCCAGGTGGATTATTTCGGAATTGTTTTCAGTAGTTCTGGAAAGTTCTGTGCTTTTTGATATCGAGATGCAGAGATAATGCAAATCGTTGGCTTTGTTCACGCCTTCTCTTTCCCTGTTTTTGTCTGCCTTTTATTCTGTTTTTAAGCTAATTTTGTTCTCCTGCTTGCTAATGTTTAACAGGTAAAAGCTCCAGATATATATATATTTTTCCTAGCTGAATAGAGTGGCAGGCATACCTGTTCTGATCTGGGTATATCAAGGCAAGCATTATCACAGACATAAACCAGCATAAGAAGGAGGGGTACAGTCATTATAGTTTGAAGAGTGAAAGAACTCATTGTGTAGCCCAAGTTGGGGCAATTAATGCAATTGACCCAAACTCTTTTTGTGTGTTTCAGATGTCCAGGGGGAGGCGGTAAGTAAATAGATTTCCCCCAAACCCTCCAGCATTAAAATATACTCACCTGTTGAGCTTGCCTCTTGAAACCTACACAGACACATATTTACATATTTACAGCTTTCTTGGCAGTGATGCAAAAGTTGTTGGCTGCTGCCTATTTGTCGCTCCTTAGCTTCCCATTTGATTACTGTTGTTGTGGAGTTTCCTTGTGGCCTATGTTTATGGGATAGGTTATGCAGGCGTTGGGTAAAGTAGGTTGGTTTAAAAATGAGGATTAGGGTCGGTGTGAATGCCATCTTTGGGCTAGACCTGATTAGGAAATAGACACTAGCAAAAATGGTAGAACTCTGTTGATACAGACTGGAATCACTGAATCTAGAAAGCCTACGAGTTCCCCTTTCCTTCCTTTTATACCAAAGAGACTCAAAGTGGAGCAATGTTAAGCTTCTTTCTCATTCTTTCTTGCTTTCCTGGGCTATGCTCATGTTTTACTCAGGGTTACAGCTAGTCCTTGACTTACAACCATTTGTTCAATGACAATGGCCCTGAGAAAAGTGACTTATGACTGGTTTTCACACTTAATGCCTTTTGTAGCCTCCCCGTGATCATGTGATCAAAATTTGGGCACCTGGTAACTGGTGCGCTGTCCTGAGGTCATGTGATCACAGTTTGTCCCCTTTTCCAACAAGCAAAATCGGCAGGGAAAGCCATGTTCGCTTAATGATTGCCTGATTCGCTGAACAACGGTGGTGATTGGTTTAACGACGGTGGCAAAAAGGTTGTAAAACGGGGCAAAACTCACTTAAGAATTGCCTTGCTTAACAACGGACATTTTAGAATCAAGGGTGGTTTTTTTCATACCTTCTCCAAGGTCACTTCTACGCTCCCATCAGTGACATTCCCCTCTACCACATCACTCTCTCCAGCTGAGCTGGGATGGGAATTGTAGTCCCAGCACATCTGGCAAATCTCACGTGGGGAAGACTGGCTCTGGAAGTGCTTGGGAATTGCTCTCCGTACTCCAGATCTTTACAAAGGGACTTCTCTTATCTGGAGTTGGCAGGGTTGCGACTCTGAATTTCCGCCTATGATATTTGCCCTCCTTGCTCTGCTTGGGTCTTTTCCTGGCTTCTCTGTACCTGTTTGGAAGCCCTGGCCTGGGGAAGCATCAGGACCTCATGCAGTCTTCTTGGGGTGCTCCTTTAGGTTCCTCCAAGCCTTGCTGAGGAGGAGGAGGAGGAAGCTCTGTATATCTACGAAGCTCCCCCAAGAGAAGAACCGGCTAAGAAAGGGTCTGTAGTCCAGCCGCAAGAGCCTGAGGAAGGCACATACCTTGGTAAGGTGCAAAGATGGGAGAAGCATGAAAGGAGGGTCGTAATAATGGAAAAGCTTCCTTTATCCTTAGTTGCTGGATTATTGACAGACCAAATCATGATGTTATACAAGAGATATTTTGGCACATGCTAGATTTTGGAAACCAGTCTCTCTTTCTTTCTTTCTTTCTTTCTTTCTTTCTTTCTTTCTTTCTTTCTTTCTTTCTTTCTCTCTCTCTCTCTCTCTCTCTCTCTCTCTCTCTCTCTCTCTCTCTCTCTCTCTCTCTCTTTGTTGGGTGACCCAGGGGCGAAGTAAAACACGCCTTCAGAAAAAGGGCAATCTCTTAAGTGAAGACCCATAAATTATTATGTTGCAAGATAGGACTCAATAATCCATGGAGGACCTCTGTGTAACCAGAGGAAGGGGTTTCATGGATGGAGAAGGTGGGCTATGAGGAGAAGGGACAGCAGAGAAAAATGATTAGTGAGGAAGAGCAAATGCTGTCTCAGATTATTTCTTTGTCCTTAGATTGTCCAAATCTGAGGCGCTTCTCTCTGCCCGTCAATTTGCATTCCAAGCCCTGCATGGTAAGAGACTTGTCAGAGTTTGTGAAAATGATGATTATTAATTATCTTATCACTCAACGACTCTATTTTTCAAGGTGAAACCAAAGGGCTGAATCTTATAACCTTGCACTGAATAATTTCATACCGTCCGCCCCAAATCTGCTTTTATTCTTTGCATTGTACCAGTTGAGCATTCTTCTTTCACCTATTCCCGAAACCATGAACTTTTTCATATAATTAGGGGTAACTTAGGACCAGAAGTGAGCTAGAAATGTCGGTTGCTAAGCGAGATGGTGAGTTTTGGCCCATGTTGTGACTCTTCTTGCCACCGTTGTTAAATGAATCACTGCAGTTGTTAAGTGAGTAACACAGCTGTTAAGTGAATATGGTTTCTCCCATTCACTTTGCTTGTCAGAAGGTCGCAAAAGGAGATCACATTACCCCGGGATACTGCGACCGTCATAAGTACGAGTCAGTTGCCAAGTTGTCCGACTTTTGATCATCTCACCATGGGGAGGCTGCCACGCTCGTAAGGGTGAAAAACGGTCATAAGTCATTTTCAAGGCCACTATAACTTTGAACGGTCGCTAAATAAATGGGTCTAACTTGAGGATTAGCTGTATACGCCAGTTGCCAAGTGGCCGAACTTCAATCACATGACTGCGAGGATACTGAAATGGTTTTAAGAGTGAAAAATGGTCCTAAGTGTCTTTTTTTCACTGCCATTGTATCTTCAGGCACTAAATGAACAGCTGTAAGTCGAGGGCAACCTGTATAGGGAAAGCAACATGATAATGCTAAATTGGTGCTCTTAGCTTTTTGCCTGAAGTTCCTTTCGCAACCCAGATTTCAAGATTTACATCTGTAGCAACTGAGGGAAGCTCCTAGAAGCAGAGCAGGCAGATCTGTGGGCTGAACGCAGATGAAATTCTAATGCATGGAGGCGAGGAATAAACTATGAGTCTATTTTCCATGGATATTTTGCTTATTCAAGCCAACAATTAGAAGGCAGAAAGCAAGTTGCAAAGTCCTTCCGGTCTTCTCTTCGAAAGAAGCTCGATAACTTGCAAACGCAATCCCTGCAGCCAGCTTTTGCTTTTCTATTCACATAATTTAAGCCAGGTTAAAATGCCTTGGCCATTTTAAGAGCTGCAGACTGTAGACTTCAACTCCCATGGCTGGCTGGGGAATTCTGGGAGTTGAAATCCACAGGTCTTAAAATGGCCAAGGTTGGACACCCCTGATTTAAACAATTAAACTAGAGGGTGTATTGCTGCCCTCTTAGTAGGAATAAGCTTCATTGATAGGTATAGGATTGGACCATCAAAGGAGAAATGGATGTCTCTGCACCTCACCAAGGCCTTGGCCCACAGCAACGGATACCGCCACATCTGGAAGAGCCTCTGGAGAGTTCTCTTGCTTGTCCTACCAAACGTCCCCTCTTATGCCTTACAGTTGCTCGCAAAGCCCGGAGCTGAAGATAGTGATGACGAAGGGACAATCAACATCCAAGCCCTTGAGGAAGGTCAGAAGAAGGGGCTGCCAATGGGGTATTGGAGGGATGGGCTTGTGGGGGGGCAACTCTGTGATGGAAGGACTTGCATCTTTTAAGGTGTTATAAATTCCACTTCTTTTCAGCTTCTGTTGAGCAGCTGAAGGTTCTCCGACACTGTATAGGTTGGATAGCTATTTTTTTTTTCTTTACAGCACTGAAAAAGGGATTGATGAAGTCTCCTCAGCCTCCTTCTCTTCCGCCCTCAGCTCGCCGGGTGTCTTTGCCCGCCTCAGCCTTCTCTGGACATCAAACAAAAGTGGCCATAAACAACGGTATGTAGAAGTGTAGCAAGGTCTATAACTTGGTGATTGGCACCTTTGGAAATTTCCAGGATTTGGGACACATTAGACTTTTTTTTTTTAAAATGAACTAAATCAGGGGTAAGCAACCTTGGCTCTTTTATGACTCGTGGACTTCAACTCCCAGAATTCCTGAGCCAGTTTTGTTATGCTGGTTCAGGAATTCTGGGAGTTGAAGTCCACGAGTCATAAAAGAGCCAAGGTGGCCTACCCCTGAACTAAGCCAACCAATTGCCTTGGGAATTAAAAAGTTTTACTGCAATCAATGCTGACAACTTACCAGAAATTTGAAGAGAAAATTGGAGTTTGCTATTTTAATCATTTTCTAAATGTTATGCATCTTTTTAAATGTTATATATCTTTCTTGTAACTTTAAGGTAAGTTTAAATCAACCCCCAAAAATTATTTGGGGTCCACTGGAATCCTTGATGGACGTTCCAGTGTTGAAGATGCAACAAATTAGAAGGTGTTTTAGCATCCCTGGTTCTGTTGTGTGGACTAGCCCAGGCGTGTCCAATCTTGGCAACTTTAAGACCTGTGGACATCATCTCTCTGACAGTTCTTCGTTTGGTGTTGTTCATTCTTATTCTTTGAACTTCTCTGCAGATGTTTTCCTGGCCACAGAAGATGACAAGGTAACTAACTTTACATCAAATGGCAAATTCATTCTAGTTCATCTGGAACATTCCAGTTATTGTTCTGTACTCATACTCTAACACAACACAGTGCACCAGTTTCTACTAGGCTCAAAATTGTCTCTCCCTTTGCAGGATGAACCTCAAGATCAACCTATCTATCTGGAATGTGAGGCCAGCACAGGTGAAGCTCCTTCTTTTGGTCCCATCTTCTCCAAGGTAGCACTTTTGGAGAGCTCCATGGAGCCTCCTATGCTTTGGCTATGGATAAGTTACAAGCTATTCGATGGAATATTTAATTAATGATGTTACCTAGTTGGGTAATGAAATGTCTGCAAGAAAACTACTAAGCTCAGAGAGCACCTAGGACCCCTCATTTCAACCCTGATGTACAAATATTCTCATTTATTGGCAGAACAAAATCTGTGAGATTGTAATCCAATTTACTAATAGTTTAGTAATTTTGCTGGCTCCATATCACCACTACAGATCCCCATATAAATTTCCTGACAGTGAGAGTAATTAATCCATGGAACAGCTTGCCTCCCAGAGTTGTGGGTGCTCCATCACTGGAGGTTCCCCCCCCCCTCAAATGGACATCCATTTGTCCGGGATGGTATAAGCTCTCCTGCCGTGGACAGCGGGTTGGACTGGAAGACTTCCAAGGTCCCTTCCACTCCTATGATTCTAAGTCTTCAGGCCTGGTCTTGAAGGCCAAGAAGGTCAGAGCCAATCCAACCTGAGGGAGATGATGTTCAAAAGGCTCTCCTCCTGGATCCCATTAGATGACCTTCTTCAGTGGACGGGACCTGTAATGTGCTACTTCTGCTGGATCTGCGGGGCCAGGCAGAAGTAATCAGGAAGAGGTATTTTCTTAAGTAACCTGGCCCTTTACAAACCTAACTAGAGACAAGATGCTCCAAACTTGCTAAGAGTGGTCCTGTGCTTCTTGCAAGCTACCTCTCTCCTAGACCTGATTTGTTTTTCATTTCTTGCCAGGCGTGGTGCCCAGCAAAGGGCCTTCTTCTCCAGTCTTGGACCCTCTAACCTGCCTCTTGAAACAAGCCAAGTGAGTATGATCTATAGCTGTGGAATTCTGGGAATTGAAGTCCACATATCTTAAAGTTGCCATGGTCAACGAATACTCATAGTATAGATCCCATGTAGCACAATCCTCTTTCTTTTCTTTTTATTAGGTCCAAAATTTCTTCTTTGGGATCTCAGCAGGTGAGTGGATAAGCATGAGATAAGGAGCAGAAAGGCAGGATTTGTGGGGAAAGACTAAAATGCCTGTGTTTTATGTTTTTAAACTATTTTTTTATTTGTGTATTTATGGGATAGTTTGATGGCAGAGTTTATATCACACCAAAGCAAGCTCAAGCTATCACCTAATTTCACCTCCCAAATTTGAGTCTTGTCAGATGAGGGAGGGAGGGAGAAAGAATGTTATCCAGTGCTTTCTTCTCTGGTCCTCACTCCTGGATCAAAATCTGAAACCCATGGATTGGGATTGCGGTGACGTTGGAAAATGATGGGGCGTAGCAGAAGTGTCAGTTTGGTTCTTAGAAAAGGAGAGGCACCCCCCGTTCTTTGACCAGAACCTCCATTTATCATTTTCACTGTCTGTTATGTTTCTTCAGGATCCTGATATGAAAAATGCGGCATGGTATGCAGGCAACTGTGACCGGCGTACGGCTGAAGCAGCTCTCCTCCAATTTAACAAGGTAGTGTGGCCCTGTTTTATGATTTTTATAAATTCCAATCTTCAGTTTGCACAGTCAGAGCTCCGGGGTTGCGTTTTGTCCACCCTGGCTGGGAAATCCCAACACAAGGTAATCCCAACACATTGCAAGCCTTTCTGTAACCCCGTCTGTAATCCCCAACCTCTTCTCTCCCCTGGAGAAGTCCACAGAAAGATCTCAGAGGGTTGGCCTGGGAAGTTCTCCATTGGGCACTTAATCCAGAAATGCCTTTTGCTCAGCCTCCTGCTTTCTGTAGGTCCACAAGAGAGAGGAGAAAATTCATTTGGACTCAAAATGATAGTGTTTCAATAGATGATTAGGGGACTGGAAGCTAAAACATGAAGAACAATTGTGGGAACTGGACATGTCTAGTTTAACAAAGGATTAGGGGTGACATGATAGCAGTCTTCCAGTACTGGAAGAGGTCTCCCAGGCCTAGATGGCCACCAGAAGTGCATGGATGTCTCTTCCGGAAGTCCGTTCTAAGCCTCGGAGGCTCAGGCCTGCATCCACACAGAGAACCGGATGTTCAGGTATTTGAATCCCACCACTGGTGCACCATCACTGGAGAGTTTTAAGAAGAGACTGGACAGCCATTTGACTGGGATGTTAAGAGGGTCTCCTGCTTGAGGAGTTGGTTGGACTAGAAGACCTCCAAGGTCTCTTCCAACTCTCTTACTCTTGTCAGCCTCTGCTCCCCTCCTTTTTCTTGCAGAACAGTGCCTTCATGGTACGGCAGAGTTCTCGCCGTTCTCCCAGGCAGCCCTTCACCTTGGTGGTTTTTTACAAGAATCATATCTATAATGTTCCTATCCACTACCAGGAGAGCAGCTGTCAGTTTGCCCTTGGCAAGGACGGCAAGAGCCATGAGGTGAGTTGAGGGAAGGCTGGATCCCCAGAAGACTCTACTATACAGATAGTTCTCAATCCCATCATCCCCAAGTACGTGTAGCAATTTGGGCCTGGGACTTGCCCTGGGGAGGCCCATAGGAATTCAGGAGAGATGGTGGTCTTGGAGCTAGGCCCTTTTGTCTCAGTCCTATCCACCCCCTGGGATCCTTGGGGTGAGAATAACTTGAAGGAAGGGGTACAGTGCACATCAGGAGTGTCCAATGTTGGCAACTTCAAGACTTGTGGACTTCAACTCCCAGAATTCCCCAGCAACAATGGAATATACTCTTAGTTACGCTACAGATAGGATTGGATGTGGGGGAGACATCGAAACATAACAGGGCAGATTTGCTGCATTTGAAGTACGGTAAGCAAACTATTGTTCATTGAAAAGGGAAATTATGAAGTGCCTGGACCCCCAAACACGGCACTCAGCATTTTCAACAGCCCTCACCCCTCCTTTGCCTCACAACTTTCCCCGATTTACAGGAACCCAGATTCAAAAGTAGGGAAAGGAGTGAATTGGGGACACCAGATGTTGATCTCTCTTTCCTTCGCCAGCTGTTTGACAGTGTTTCCAGCATCATCCAGAAGTACTCAGAGCGCCCCCTGGTGCTGATTGACGGCAGCACTTCTGCCAAGGAGCAAACGTGTCTGTTGTTCCCTGTCACACCATGAAGATTGATTGGACAGCCGCACACGTAGGCGCTCTGGGCATGGGTTTCGATGCCCTTCTGGTGCAAGGACAACTCATGAAGAATTCAGCCTATATTATCTCATTCACAACCTGCTTTGCAACACCTTTCCAGAGGCAGAAGACTGTTGGTTTGCAAAATTCCGGACATGACCTACCATCATCATCATCATCCAGACAAGCACCTGCAACATAAGACCTGGCATGACAAACTAGCAACAATGGTGCATTGGAAGATCTGCAAGAAATATCATTTGCCTGTAAGCAAGTCATAGAAAATGATAAAGTTAAACTGCTCTGGGACTTCAGAATTCAAACAGACAAGCACCTGCAACATAACACCCCGGACTTAACAATTGTCGATAAGAAAGACAAAAAAGTCTAGATAGTGATGATAGGGGATGACGGGGGGTATTTGGAAGGGATTCCTGTTCTATTTCTCATAACTTCTGCTAACAGTGTCCTATTTCCAGCCAGAACTGTATATATCTCGGTAAACCCGTTCTGTACCAATGACCTTGCTGCAATAGTTATCCAGTCAGGAAGGTATCTGTAAAGCAATAAAGTAAAGTCAGCAGAATAAGATAGCTGTGCAGAGAACAGTGAGTTGGCAAAAGTTCCACACTCCACTGTCCTCTCCTAAGAATGAGTCTTCTTGCACCATCCATTGCTCCCTCCCCCATTACCTTTGCTCATCGCTAAAGGTTGGGAGCAGAACAAGGATCTCTCAAGATGTGATTAAAAAGAAGTCAAGATGGCAGCCACAATGTGTGATCAAAACTCCACCTGTTTTCCATGTATGACTTGCATACAAAATGGCAGAGCTTTAATTATACCGTCATGGCCACTATCTTGACTTCAGTGACAACAGCAGGCTGAAAGAGAGGGAAAGGGCTTAGCAAACAAAGTATGTGAGCCCAATGTCCTTAATGATGCCCACAGTGAGTTGGAACAGAAAAAAAGGTTCTTTTCCCTCATCTCCCAGTGTGCTAAACCTGCCGAGACCATTTTTCTTGAGGTCTCCTTGCAATTATCAGGAGCACTTGTGGGCAATCTCAAGTCATCTCCTTGTCTGGAGGGGAATTATGAAGAGCTGGATCGACCTGCTATCTTTCCCTTTTGTTGCAGCATCAACTCCAGCTTCAATCTGCTATTTTTCTCCCCAGAAGTCAGAATGTCCTGCATATATGCTGATAAAATTTGTCCTTGGTCTTCCAACAGCATATTTACTGTTGTGAGTGGGGTGGCCACATAAACCATATCAATGAATAAGAGAGTGTAAATGTTTTCTTAACAAGGGAGTCTGCAGGGTTAGTCAAAATCCAAGATGGCAGCCACGTTGGTGTAAATGAAGGTCTCCTGTTTTTTTTTTAATGTGTTGTACATGCATGACCCCAATTTCTAGCAAACACTGAAGCCTTCATTTCAGAGTAATTAATCTTGAGGCGTTTTCTAGGGCAGCGTTTCTTAACTATAGCAACTTTGAGCTGTATGGACTTCAACTCCCAGAATTCCTTAGCCAATATGCTGGCTGGGGAAATCTAGGCGTTGAAATCCACACCGCTTAAATTTCCCATGATTGAGAATCCCTGTTCTAGAGCAGGTCAAGAAGGTTTATGCCTTTTATTTACTTAGCTTTAGGTTTGTGTGCTGTCCAAATCCTTTAATAAAAAAAACACTTAATAAAATTCGTGAGTCAGAAAAGGTGCCATCAGGCTCCTTCAGAAAAGTTAAAAAGTTGTTGATTTGTTTGTGGTTCAAGTAATCCGTTGTTCTGAAAGCAATATAAAAGGCTATAATTATGAAACTTTTGGCTAGCACCATAAAAAACAAAGAGAAAAGAGAGCAATGAAGAAAGAAAGCCAGCGGTCAATCTGACCATTTCTCTGCTTCTTGCCAACTCAAATAAAACAAGAAGTTATAGCTTGGGCGAACAGATCCACTCAGTCCAAATCATCCTTTTGGCAGTTACAAGAGGAAAAAAAAAAACGGAGATGAGATAAGACCCAGAAAAACAAGAGCATATTTGATTGTGAAGAGATAGATTAAATTTAAACAGAAGTGTGTTTCTCCTTCCTGCAGAGTCCCTCGGCCTCTTATTTTTTCATAAAATATTACGAGGATCCAGCATTTTAATGTCATTTTAAATTTTGCAAGGCAAGAGTGCTTTTACAAAATGGCTGCAGGGCAAATGGGAGCCTTTGCAAGCCTTGTAGCTACAGTGCCTTGCACCCAGTCGAATGCCTAAGGGCTGCTAGTTGTTAAAGATGCATCAGCAATGGAGGCAGGAATTGGCTTTACAGAATTTGGAAGACAGAACAGAGCTGGAAGGGACCTTGGAGGTCTTCTAGTCCAACCCCGTTCAAGCATGAGACTCTATGCCATTATGGACAAATGGCTGTCCAGTCTCTCCTGGAAAACCTCCAGCGATGGAGCATTCAGAACTCCTGGAGGGAAGCTGTTCCACTGATGGTTTTCATTCCCAGGAAATTTCTCCTTGATTCTAAGTTGGATCTCTCCCTGATAAGCTTCCATCCATCACTTCTTGTCCTGCCTTCAGGTGCTTTGGAAAATAGGTTGACTCCCTATTTATGCTTTATTATATTTTAAGGAGTTTGGCTTTTTTTTTACTTTTTACTCATTACTCTTTTTAGTATTACAATGTAGTATTTTTCTCAAGCATTAGAATTCTTTTCCCACGTTCACAAACATCAGGCCATCTTCTGAGATAAGAAGTCTTAGGGTGGGCTTGTTTAGAACTTTCCCTGTATCTGCCCTTCTTGTGTGATAGCCCAAGCTCCTCTTCTTCAGCTCCAGAAGAACTGCAACAGTATAGCGTGCTTATGGTCTCAGAGGTGTTGATGTTCTTGATGTTAGATGAGGTTAATCCATTGTAGCTATGTTTTCATTGTTCTCTTACCTTGCATCCTTCTTTTCTGTGTGACTGTAATTTGCGTTTGGCTGTAGATCATAGATAAAAGTTATCACAACGTAGTGTTTTTCATCTTTAGCCACTTAAACATACATGGGCTCCAACTGAGAATCCTGCAGCCACTGTCAATGCATGGTAGGAGAACAGTGAAAACAAAGATTCAATGGAATAACTTCATCAAAGATCAAGAACATATTTGACTATATCGCTGAGCAGAATACATGTACAGTATAGTGTTGCAACTCTGCGGGAAGTAATGAAAAACAGGAGTTAAGAGGAGGAATAACAAATCTAGGAATCCCTGATGCAAAAAGGAAAAAAAATGACATATTTGTTGTAATATCATGATGCAAATACCACCATTTAGTACTTGTATCATGACACTGCACACAAGCACACAAGGAGCTGAGCTTCTTCCATGACATCATGATGGTGGTTTCATAATTTTGACAGAACTTCCAGATTTTGCAGATTATATTCCCTACCAACCTGCTTCTGGTGAAAGGAATGGGATTCTCCCCCTTCGTTTTTTCATTTCCTAATGATGCCCCCAACTGTACATGGAGCTCAGAAACCTTCTAAGAAATGAAACTCTTTTGATCTCTACCCTTTCAGATTTTAAATGGCTGTCACAAAGATGAAGGGGTCAACCTGTTCTCCAAAGCACCAGAAGGCAAGTCAAGAAACAATGGATGGAAACTAATCAAGGAGAGAAGCAACCTGTAACTAAGGAGAAACTTCCAAATAATGAAAACAATTGATCAGTGGAACAGCTTGCCTTCAGAAGTTGTAGGGGCTTCATCACTGGATGTTTTTAAAGAAGAGACTGGAGATCCACCTGTCTGAAATGGACTCTAGCCTATTGAAGAGAAGGATTATGGGGGACATGACAACTATCTTCCAGTACTTGAGAAGCTGTCACAGAAAAGAGAGGATTGGCTTATTCTCCAAAGCACCAGAGGGCAGGATAAGAAGCTCATTAAAGTGAGCTCTAATCTAGAACTAAGGAGAAATTTCCTGTCATGGAAAACAATCTGTGGAATAGCTTGCCTCTCAGAGTCTTGGTGCTCCATTGCTGGAGATTCTGAGAAATAAATTGGACAACCATTTGACTGGACTCCTGCCATAAACAGAGGTTTGGATGAGAAGACCCCTGAAGTCCTTTCCAGCCTTTGATTCTATGTTGTATGAAGGCCTCATACACTCTTCCCCCCAAAATTCTTTCTTTCTCGCTCTGGCTTCTATGCAATTCCATATCATCCTTCACTCTCCATACCCCAGTCACCATCTTCCTATTTTGGGATGGAGGACTGAATGGGGAGTCCCCTCCCACACAGCACAGCTGCAAAGTTCAGCTGTGGGACACGAGGGCCAGAGCAAAGCTCTCCCTTTATGGTGGTCCTGCATTTGGAAAGGTTCCCTATCACATTATGCTGAAGAGGCAAATGTGGTGGCTTCAGCAGCCCCGGCGTTAATGATGACCAGAAAGGCATTCCTGGAATGGAAACGGTCTCACTTGTTCCTCACAAGGGACGAGAGCACAGGAACACACCCCAAGGCATCCCGACGAATGACTGTCCAGCCTCTTCTTGAACACATCCAATGCCTACCTCTAGTTCAGATCATTCATCCTCCTATCAAACTCTTCTTGCCATTCGATTCAACCAGAATCTGTCAACCTGTAAATGAACTGTTACTTGTATTACAGTGAGTTCTCTACTTATGACCGCAATTGAGCCCAAAATGTCCATCGCTAAGCAAGGCATTTGTTAAGCGTGTTTTGTCTGATGTTATGACCTTTCTTACCACAATTGTTATGTTGTGAAGTTAGGGACACGGCTTGTTAAGTGAATTTGGCTTCCCCCGCTGACTTTGCTTTTCAAAAGGTCACAAAAGGGGATCATATGATCCTGGCACCCTGCGGCCCTCCTAAATACATGCCGATTGCCAAGCACCTGGATTTTGATCACGTGTTCACGGGGATGCTGCAACGGGCATAGGTGTGAAAAATGGTCATTAAGTCATTTGAGTGCTGTTGTCACTTCATTCACTAAATAAAGGGTCGTTAGTCAGGGATCAGCTTTATTTTTGTGTATGTTTCTGAAGCCATGTCACATTGCTGAAATCAACTTCAGTTTGTGATGGATTACAATTCTGAAAGTTCTCCGTTGAAGAGTTTCAGTTCATTCTGTGATTTTTATCTCTTGCGTCTGAACACTCCTACGTATTTTGAAAGCTATTTCGGCATCTGAGGATATTAGCTGTCCTACTCAGTGGGCACTTCCAAGAAGCATTTCCTCCAACGTAGTGCTGAAATCATTAATAGATTGTCATTCCTTAGCTTTTAAATTAGTAAAAAAAAACAAAACCCATTTACGGAATGGCAACAACTTCATGGAAAGATATTGTGGATATGTCTTACTCTGTGTAAAACAGGGGTGGCCAACCCTGGCAACTTTTAAGACTTCAGCTCCCAGCATGGGTGGCTGGGGAATGCTGGGAATTGAAGTCCACAAGTCTTAAAATCACCAAAGGTCGAACGCCCCTGGATATAAAAGCAGTCCTGCAATCACATTTTAAAAAGCACACGGTTGCTTCAGAATTTTGTCCTTGTTCTTCTTCCCCTGCTGTTACAGTGGTCACGTCACGGGAAAAAGTGGACATCTCCCATGAAGAAGAACAGAAGCAGAAAAGACCACAGGCCAAGGCTTCTTACACTGTGGGAGGCTTAGGTTACAAAGAAAATCCAACCGCATGACGATTTTCCACATCTTCCTAATGTAATTTCTTTTGCAATTTCTAATAGGATTAAGTCCGGGCCATCTGCAGGAGATTTTAAAATGACCCAACGCCCTCCCTCCATAATGCAATCATGGAACAGGAAGGGACTACCGCCTGGCCTCTGCACTAAGCATCCTTCAAGAGGGTAGCCTTAAGTCACCCATCACCATGGCAACCGCTTCAGCCTCGCTGGACTTTTGTTGTCTGAAGCCCCAACAGATAGCAAAGAGCTACTGAGGGAGGGTTAACAGTTTGCTGTGTGAAATAATTTTAAGTGCATGAATGTTTTGAAGTCATCTTTTGTAGTATGTCCATGTAATATGATCTTATTGTGTACATATGAGATATTCCAAGCAACAAAACATTTTATGAAACAGGAACGCCATTTCTGAGAGCTGTTTTTCATGTTGCTGGTCTTCTCTTTCTAAGCATTATAGAGTTCTCAAGAGACTGAGCTCTTTGTACACTGCATTCAAAATGAAAGAGGCTTACAATACAAAAAAAAAAGTATAAAATACTCAACTATTTAGCCCCATCCTCCAATTTTACGATCAATGTGTGTTAAAATAACACACGTTCCAGAAAAAGATTCCACTGAACTGATCCACACAGTGTAAAGCTTTCCAAATATTAACTACAATTCCCAGTAGCTCCAGTTAGCCTGAGATGACAACTGGTTGGAATTCTAAGCCAAAACAACCGGGATGGGAGGTTATGCCAAATAACTGACATAAATGTTCATGATAAACAGTAAAATATAATTAAGACAAGATCAAACAATGGCAGTGCTTAAGTAAAGTCTCCTTGATACAGAATTGCTACGGAATACACCATAGGACCTTAGCAATTGCACTTCAAAGCAATCTTGTACCTAGATCAGCCAATCAAAAACCAATCAATCATTGCACCATCCCCACGGTCACGTGATCAAAATTCAGCCACTTGGCAACTGGGTCATATTTATGATGGTTGCCATGTCCCGGGGTCGTGTGATCCTCTTTTGTGACCTTCTAACGAGCAGAATCAACGAAGAAGCTAGATTCACGTAACAGGTTACTGACTTAACAAATGCAATGATTCACTTAACAACTCTGGCAAAAAAAGTCGTAAAATGGGGCAAAATTAACAGTTGTCTCTCTTAGCATCAGAAATTTTGGGATCAACTGTGGTCGTTTTCTAGATCCCAGTTTTTGTAATTTGCCGTGTTTGTCCAGATTTGGGCAGATGCAAATCTCACACAGCATCTGTAAGTGCTGGGTCAATTACAAGTTATAATTCTGCCTCAGTTTTCAGTTCCAGGGACAGCCTGCCATATGCTCACTGGTTCTTGTATCGTTTGGGTCAAAGCTCTGCCTGAGCGAATTCTTCCTTCCACGTCTCTTATCTCTCTTTTCCCTTGAACTCCTGTAGTAAAAAATTGCTCTGTTGGCAGAAAGGATGTAATTGGCTGGTAATGTGAGTGGAAGCAACGTTTCCTTCCGGCTGTCTTCATTAATAGTGTTGTCAATTTAATTCCGATAAAACTACTCTAACCTAATAGATCAGCAAAAACTTTTAATGGGGTGCTTAGAAGTCAACCTCTCACCAATCTACTTGTGAACCACTTGATGTTTTATGTGAAAAATGCCAGGTAGGTTGTGAAACATAAAACATAAAAGACAGTCATTAGGAGAGAGGCTAATCATCAGCTATAATTTAATACACTTAGTGGCAGCTATTCATTTAGAGAGGTTCTAACTGGCTGGGACAACTAAATTAGGCCATTCTTGTTCTTGTCATGCATCAGCTTCCTGGCCATTTCTGAAGAAGAGCATCATCTGTTCAAAGTATTGCATCATGAAGACCTAGACTAGAGGAGGGAGAACCGAGAGCAGGAGGAGGAGTGGGGGGACAAGGGGGAGAGAGTGGAGTGAATCAGTCACGATACTAAGAGAACACTATAGGAGAGGACTACTCAGGTAGCCCTCAAGTTACAACAGGTCATTTAGTGACAGTTCAAAGTTACAACAGCACTGAAAAAAGTGACTTATGACCATTTGTCACACTTATGACCAAGGGTCTTCAAACTTGGCCTTTTGATGACTTGTGGACTTCAACTCCCAGAATTCCTCAGCCAGGCACGCGGGAGTTGAAGTCCACAAGTCATCAAAGGGCCAAGTTTGAAGACCCCTGCTTCTGACCTTTGTAACATCCCCATGGTCACGTAATTAAAGTTCAGATGCTTGGCAATTGACTCATAGTTGTGAGGGTTGCAGCGTCCCAGGGTCAAATGATCCCCTTTTACAGTGCATTATTGCCAGTCCCCCTCCCCCCACCCCGCTATCCTGAGTATCTTTGTTCTCCTGAATTCTGCTACTGTTGTTTATGCACAATAGATATTCCATCTTACATCAGCCCAACTTAAGTTGATAGTCCACTAATGTTCCCTAAAGGCATGTAAGAGCGTAGCTGGCTTCTTTATGGCTAAGCAGGTCATTCTGCTTTTTTTTGATGTACCAGGAAAACAACTCAATCAGAACAATCTAATTTGTCCGGAGACATAAGGAACTGCGGAAGGATGCAATGAACTGAATATTTACAGAAAATACAATTGCTAAAACGATTTGAAGAAAAACGTTGGGTGTTATGTGCTATACTCGCCTGACCCCTATATACTTATAAGTCACCCAGTCCCTGTATTAATGAGATGGGTGGCATGGACATTTAATAAAAAAACAAACAAAATACTAGCCAGTCATGTTTTAGCTTAATGTGCCTAACAATGATTAGTGTGCCATATGAAACTAAATAGTTGGGAATAACCCATGATTTATAAACATACCAAGCGAACAAAGCCATTGAACCCTATCATTTTAAAGTTAGAAAAGACAGAAATTTTGTAGTCCATCCTCCTGCTCGGTGCAAAGAGTTTTAAACAAATGCATTTCTCACCACATGACCTTCTTTTCAATGTCTCCTTTTAAACTACCGTATTTTCAGTGGGCAGAATTTTCCGTCCTTAAGCTGATGAGTTTAAGTCACACAATATTCTCATGAACTGCTGAAGGCATGTACTTTTAATATACAGCTGGTTTCCAGAGGTTTGTGAGAATGTAGCATGGCTCTTTTTTTAGTTCTCTATAAAGATTTTATTGTTTTTTTTTCATCAACATATGTTAATTTTTCCAATCAACAAGTTGTCTGGAGTTTGCTGTGCTAATACATGTTCAATTCCTAATCCTTCATTCTTTCCTCTAGCCAAGAATAAAATAAGTTCCAAATTTGATAGCAGTATGTATCTTCTTTATCTTTCAACCTCATAGTTAATCTGTCCATCTCTGCACATTCCAATATTTTCCTGATTATTATATGTTGCGTGACTCTTGAGGAAGAACACCGTCTGCCCTTTTTAATAACAGGAAGTCCATTCAGAAATAAAATTTCCAACTTACATACAAATTCAGTTAAAGTTAAGGAGAGGAACAGAACCTGTTCTTAGCCCTGTAAAGTTGTCTAATCTTACAGGCTGCATTTAATGAATGTATACAAGGAAGCATACAGGTAGTTCTCAACTGAGCCCAAAATTTATGTTGCTGAGATGTTTGTTAAGTGACTTTTTCCCTATTTTACAACCTTTCTTGCTAGTTTTTAAGTGAATCGCTGCAAGGATTCAGCTAAAACCTGCAGCAAAAAAGGTCGTAAAATGGGGCAAAACTCACTTAACAAATGTCTCACTTAACAACAGAAAGTGAATCTGGCTTCCCCCATCCTGCCTAGATGCCTACTGGATGGATAAAAAACAAGATTAAAGAGCAAGGAAATGTTATCTGTTTCTTTTGAAGAGCCAAGGAGATCTACTTGAAAAAGGATTATTTTAAACATGTGGTTTAAATGTACTATGTAGATATGGCAAAACAGTAAACACAAATCAAAAAGCATGATGGGCGGTGATTGTTCATGATAAGACTGAAACTAGAGCAAGCAGACTCACTTGGTAACTAGGAAGAAGGGGGAATGGATGAATTTTAAGATGTGGAAATATTGGCACAAAGAGAGAGTAATGTGTGACCTATTGGGAAGAATGGATGTTTGTTGAAACAAACATATGAGCTGGCTAAGTAGGTCTCTGTTTGGGCATCAGTGTAGTAAGATTTGAGGACTGTTGCATCATGTAGGACTACACGACGTCCTTGAGGTCATAGCACTTTTCATAGAGAAACCCACAGTTCTACTCTTGGTATAGTTTACTCCCAATCACCTGCCAACTGCTTCATTAGTGGATATGCAGTCATTTAAAAGAAGGTGGCAATTTATGTTTGGGATCCCTTGCCCGAGGCAAGTATCATGAAGGAAGGGAAATTTCATCATTCAGGTTTAAGAAAAGCATTCATTGTTGCCTTCTAAAGAACTCCTTGGGTACCAGCAGAGCAAATAGGGCAAACTGGCTGCAAATGAGAATCATATTCTTCATACCTGGTTGGTAGAAAGGTGAGTTTTACCAGGTGCAATTCACATGTGCTCAGCTGTATCAACAAAATTCTGAACTTCTGCAGTACTCAGATTAAATGCTAGACCGTTTATGCACATATATTTGATCTGATGTTTTGCCTGATAAATATTTACACAGAGCATAGGTTGTAACATAATATTCATACTATTTAAGAAAAGTGGATCATGCCCGTGTAATTTCCTTTGAGGCAAGATAGAAGCGTCTGTCGCTGGCGTCTTCTGGTATTTTTTTTTTTAAATTCTCAATCTGGTCTCAGAAATCCCTGGAGATCTTCATCCAAGTAATAACCACCCCTGCTTAGCTTTGGAGCCCAAACAAGGTTGGTCATCCAATCGCTGAGGTTTGTGCTGTGAAGTCAAATAGATTTAAATCAGTAAAACTGCAGCTCAATAAGAGCCATAACAATAACCAAGCACCATGAAAAGAGCCAAAAGCAGACTCTGTGTGTTTAGTCCGAAAGTTTTCAAACTCTGCAGTATCGTGATCCATTCCCAATGATAAAAGCATACGTATGATGTCTCTCCCAAGTAAAATTCATTATTTCACTGGAATTAGGGCAAGAAACAAAAATACCGCTTTGAAAAAGATAGCTTTCTTGATATACAGGCCCTTTGATGGTCTTTTTTTTAACTATCCCAAAGAAACACATTCTGAAAGGCTAAATATCTAAAACAATGAATAAATATGCTAGTTTCACTGGCATACATATTTCCAAAGATATTCCCAATAATGTCGATATACTTCTGCATGCCAGACTAAAAGCTACCAGGATAAAATCCACTACAGGTGTAGCCATCTCTCAAAACTTGTTCCAGGATTGACTCTCTACTCTGCCTTGACACGGCTCACCCAGCCAAAGCAGGGGTTTGTTTAACAACATTGCTGTTTTAGGCATGCACAATCAACTGTGCTCCTTAGGGGTCACAGTCCAGAGTTTGAACAGCTCTTGCTTAGTGTTATCTGAAACTGAGTAATTGTGGCTTATTTGGCAAACCAGTGCTTGACGAACTAGATCAGCTGATTTGTCCAACAAATAAACCACCTTGCATATCTAATTTCTAACAGATAATAGCTTTCAAGCAAGTCTTTATTGGCTTTCCTTGAAAATATTGGAGACCAATTCAGGAAGACAAAACACACACTCTGCTCTTCATCTATGGCCTTTCCGGGTGCTAAAAAGTATTCTCCTGAGTACTCAAATAGAACATTGAATTTTCACTACTGATTGCTACTCAGGTAAGTATCACTTATCTATAATGTATGGATATGAGACTACTTTTTCTACCAAAATATAGATTTTTCATCCCCAAATGCTCTCCTGTATTATAACAGCTTTTTATTACTGCTTCCTGCCAGCTGCAGCTGCTCTTGATCATAAAAGCTCTTATCATTTCCCTTGATGTTATCTTGTTCTGAAGAATCTCAATCACTAATAATATATTAGAAGAGACTGTTATATGGAAAGATTTTAGCCTGCCTCACAATAAGTATTCAGTCAAATGATTGTTGTATCCATTCTATTATTTAATACTTTCTGATTAGTTAAAAAAGTATCCCATTGCTCTCATCTGGCTAGTTAACCAAGACACGAGTTTGGATCAAATAGTCTGGATTCCCAAATGAATAGGTTTCCCTACCTTTCTCTCAATAATTAGTGCTCTACAAATGCAATAGATGTAGATTGTTAGGAAATGTCCCTTTCTGAGAATTGTGTTTACTTACCTGACTCATTTCCAGTTTGAGGCCAGCTTACCAATTTCCTCGATGGCCGAGCTTTCCACAGGTCATTCTGATTCTGTACATATAATAGATAAATCTATTGTTTTTGTTGCTTACTAGAAGCAAAAAAATAAAATAAAAATAAAAATAAAAATGAAAGTCCATAAAATTGGTGTTCTGTTGGGTGTATCTTTATATTCATTAATGTGAATTTTACCTCTATATTCATTAACATGTTTTTTGTTTTGATTTCTGGAAAAAGCAAATTTAATGGCTGTAACATCAAGACTGAATGGAAAACACCCATCCCCAAAATCCTTACATGCTTTTGCCCATATTAAAAATTATTGTATAGCTGTACAATTAAAAATCACATATTTATAAACTACCACGCATATTCTGAAAGGTCTACTTTGACCATGAGCATTTTCTATTAAGAAAAAAGGGCTATTATCCTAATTAGGCATACCCACATTGAAACACATTGAGGGGTCCCTGAGGCTCTTTGAGCTTGGTGGTTCTCTTGCACTTGTTCATTACCCAAGCTATGTAACAGCATCAAGATCAAAATCACGTGAAATATTAGTACCGCTTTAAAAAAACTTAATAAGACCACACCTAGAATACTGCATCCAGTTTTGGTCACCATATTACAAAAAAGATGTTGAGACTTTGGAAATAGTGCAGAGAAGAGCAACTACCGGAAAGATGATTAAAGGCCTGGAGGCTAAAACATACGAAGAATGTTTGCAGGAATTGGATATGGCTGGTCTAGAAAAAATGAGGACTAGAGGTGACATGATATCAGTGTTTCAATGTCTGAGGGCTGCAATGAAGAAAAGGGGATCATCCTATTTTCCAAAGCACCAGAAGGCAGGTCAAGAAACAATGGATGGAAACTAATCAAAGAAAGAAAGAAACCTAGAACTAAGGAGAAATTTCCTGACAGTGAGAACAATTAACCCGTGAAATTGCTTGCCTCCAGAAGTTGTGGGTGCTCCATCGCTGGAGATTTTTAAGAAGAGACTGGATAGCCACTTATCTGAAATATAGGGTCTCATGCTAGAAGACCTCCAAGATCCCTCCCAACTCAATTCTGTAATAATTAGCGCCCTGATGATGTTACCTAGTTTGGTAATGAAACATTTGCAAGAAAACCACCAAGCTCAGAGAGCAACAAGGATGCCTCATGTCAACCAAGAGCTCTCCGAAAGATGCTTTTTCAGGAGGTGACTGGACTCGGTTTTTCTTTGAAGACGTTTCGCTTCTCATCCAAGAAGCTTCTTCAGTTCTGTTTGAAGAAGCTTTTTCAAATGAGAAGCGAAACGTCTTCAAAGAAAAACAAGAAAGTCCAGTTGCCTCCTGAAAAAAACCATCTTTGGGATAGCTACGACCTGGATGACTGATAATCTCCATAGACATCAACCAAGAGCTACTTCTTTTTATCTCTGGACTGAAATGAAGAGACCTTGCTGTTTTCTGAGCTTGGTTGTTTTATTGTAACTTTGCAAGCTGCTCAGAGTTACCTTGAAATATCAATTTATTAAATAACAGTTATAAGCAGAAACAACCTGCCTCCAGAAGCTGTGAGTGCTCCAACACTGGAAGTCTTTAAGAGACTGGACAGCCATTTGTCCGAAATGGTATAGGGTTTCCTGCCTGAGCAAGGGGTTGGACTAGATGACCTCCAAGATCCCTTCCAACTTTATTATTATTATTATTATGGATCATCGCAGTCAGCCAGATGTTCAGACTGGATTTGGCATTTTGTCTACCTATCAAGTCCTTACCCAGGACCTGGGATAGGCAGATGTGGATGTTTGATGGTATTACAGATCTTGTTGCAGGATGGAAGCAGTTCCTAGTAAGGCCGCCTTTTGCAATTGACTAATGGCAAGTTTGTCAATGCCAATGGTGTTCAAGTGTTGTTGTTATTATTATTATTAAGCTTTTAGACACTTTTCACAGGGAAGAAGCCACCAAGTCAGACACCTGGGCATTTCTGATGCTTCCTAGAGCTGATCCTCATTCTCGTTTCCGGGTTGGTGTTCACACAACACCCCAAAACAAGGGAACTGTGGTTTACCTACCAATCGAACTATGGCTTATCAGGACACGTGTCCCGTAAATGGGCGCATTCAGACGACCCCGCGACCCCCTACCGGCCAAGCGTCATTTTTGCAGGCCCGTGGGCAGGACTTGACCCACCGGCTCGGGAAGCCACGCTTCTGGGGATCGGCCCCTTAGGAGAACCCCAACCGCATTTCGGCCTCCCCAGCGGAATCCGGCGGGTCTTCCCACCCAGGCAAAGGGCTTCCCGAGACAGGCCTTCGCCGGCCGGCGCGCACAGGCCCCGATGCCCGGGGAAAGCCGCCTCGCTCGGGAACAGCCGCGCCGCACCGAGGCGGGAAAATTCCGCGCGTGGGTGGGGACCGGCCGGGCGGCGAAGCCGGCAGCGGAGACGCCTCCTCCGCGATGGGGGCCGGTGGGTCAACCGAGGCACGGGGGGGGGGAAGAACCGGGCAGCCCTCTCAGGACAGCCGAGGCCTCGGGGGGGCCTCCCCCAGCACCCTGAGGGAGGGGGAGAGGGAGGGGGGAGGAGGGACCGCGGCCTCCCCGCCCCGCCGCCTCCTGCTTCTCCGCCCCTCCTCCCAAAAAAATGGAAAGGGGCGGGATTTCGCCGGGAGGGGCGTGGCCTCCCCTATAAATATCGGCGCCAGGCAGCGGGCACCCTCATTCCTCGGGTGCTGCAGGCCGCTTTCAGTGTTGCTGAGTCGCGCGCTTTTGAGGCTCTTTTATTTTTTTAATTCCCGCCGCTGGACTTGACGCTTCGCTTTTTCTTTTCTTCGGCCTCGCAGTATTCGCCCCCGCCATGAACGGTTTCCGGGACAGCAGGATCGAGGAGGGCACTTTCCTCTTCACCTCAGAGTCGGTGGGGGAAGGGCACCCAGGTGAGAGGAGGAGATGCGGGGCGGGGGGGGGCGGCTGAAAGACCCGGCTGTAGCAGGCCGGGGGGGGTGGGGTGGATGGAATGAGCGGGAAGGAGGAAGGCGAAGGTGGGTGGGCGGCCTCGCGCCGCCGCTCGCCGCCTGATTGGCCCGCGCACCCCGGCTGAATGACGCAAGGGCGGCTGCGGAGATAGGGCGGGGAGGGGGGGCGCGGGCGGCCCGACGGTTAACGCGATCCGCCTCTTTCCCGAATTTAGAGGCCCCCCCTCCGCCTTGAAGTGGGGGCACGCTTGTTCCCCCCCCTTTCCTCGCAGTCTCGGAGCGGCCGTCCGGGCTAACCGGCGAATGGCTACGGGGCGAGGTGACGAAAGCGGGCCCTGGCGCGCACGCGCACTCCCGTTCGGCAATCGGCGGCGCGCGCCGCATTGCAGACGACCACGTGGTGCCCGCATGGCGAGACCTTGGGTGGGGAGGATGGATGGTGGGGTGGGGTGAGAAGGAAACCAGAACCCAAGAGTGCCTTTGGGGTGGGGTGGGGGCTAGGAGGAGGGGGCACAAGACTTAAGGGCAAAACTGGCAAACGCTTTCTGATGAAAGCCACAAAAGAAGCCTTGAAGCTTTCAGCAAGGATAAAACCCACCTGCCAGAATCGAACGTCAATTGCTTTAAAATCAATGCAAGTTTCAGAAAAATCACATTGGTCCCCGAGCTCTTCTGCAACAAAGAGGCTTACGTAGACCAGCGGGATTGAGAACATTGGTCGGACTTTGAACCAGATGAGCAATCCTGGTTTGGATGCCCAACGATCTTGGGAGGCATCTTGCATTTCCATTGTCTTCCGCCATGATGGCTGAGCTTTGTCAGGAGGGTGTTCTTCAGATTTCCAGCAGTGGGGAAAAAAACCAGCTTTTGTGCCACGTTAATCTAAAGCGAGTTAAGTTCCTGTTTTTAATATGGATGCCTTTGATGTAAAGGTGAGAGGCGTTAGTGCATCACCCAAGCCTCTGCTAGAAAAGGGCAGGAAGAACCGGTCGATCATCTTTTCCGCCATTGACATGTAGCCATTGAATGCCATGTGTTTCATATTAAAGAAGAGTCTGTTCCCTGCAGAGTGGATCAGATCTTTGAAGTCTCTGCTTTTTGGAATAAATAAAAGATTTGATAGTCGTGTACTTGATGAAATGAAGAGGCCTTGACCACTTAACTGCTCATTACTGTAGTTCTTTTCATACCATAATTAGGACTCTGACTTAAGGGAGCCATGTTGTAAAATAGCATCTCAAAGGTCAGTTGCTGAAAGATACACAATCCCTACTACATTTCTTTGGAGAGGCTACTAGAAATTCCCTGAAATTTATTCCAAGTCTTGAGCTGTAATTTATTTTGTGAAACTGATAAAATTACATTTTATTATAGAACTTAACATCAGTATGTACACTATGTACATGATCTTTTTCTGATATGGCATCTACCAGGATATTGAATGACATTCTAAAACAATGGGAGTTACATCTCGTCAACTCTGAGGGGGATGTTCATTCTAAAATAGTGTGTTTTTTTTTTTTTTAAGTTATAGGAGCAAGCATTGTCTAGGAGTTAGTAGCATTGCTTATAGTTGTTGCATTGTCTAAGGTATTGCTTATTTAGGTACTCCAAAACCGTATCAAAACAATCCAGCATTTGATTCCATAGCGGCCAGTCATTCCTACAAGAAATCCACAGACAGGATATGAATGCAGCAATGCTTGTCTACTTATTTTACTTTTACCTCCAAGATTTCTAAGCATCGTAGTATTACACCATAGTTTAAGCCAAATCCTCCATGTTTCAGCTTTATTGATCAATAGTTTTTATAACAAATAGAATTCCAAACATGTTCAGTGTTAATAACATCCTCTGGCATGTAATGATCATGTTTCTAAGGTTACCATTCCCTTGTAAAAGAATTGGGACGAGCCTTGATTGCTAGCTTGATAATACCACATTTAACAATGCAAATACATTTTCTCTTGTCCTTCCTGTATCTGGAATTGTTCCTTATTCTTGTTGCCATCTTGTGTCCTCTAAAGAGCAGGGTAGTGGGAGAGTGCAGGTATAGCCTCTTATAATAGTGTGTAAATCAGTAGTGGCTCCCATTAAGCTCTGATGGTAGAATATTCAAGTTTGGTGTTTTCAGAGGGGATGTAAAAACCTTAAAGAACTGTAACTTTGGTATTAAGCTTTCCCATCCCGTGAAGTGTCCAAATGTAGATCTTAATAATTTAAAATACGCCTACCTAGTAAGTAGAGTGGATTGAACAAGTTTAAACTTCCATAATTTTAGGAAGAGCCACTTTGGTATAATGTGTAACGGTGCCAGGCTATAAACAAGGAGACTGAGTTGTAGTCCTGCCTTGAGCAGAAAAGCCAGCTAGGTGACTTGGCCAAGCATGATTTTTTTTTTCAGGCTTAATAAGGCACCTGTGCAAACCACTTCCAAGAATCTTGCCAAGAAAACTGCAAAGACTTCTCCAAGTAGTTACCAGGGACAAGATTGACAGTTCACATACTGACATCCAGACAATTGTAGCTTTGTTATTCTTTGAGTAACTTCTATGAAGAATGCTTAAGTTGTGAATTAGCAGAAACTCTAGTTTTCACCTTGCCCCAAAACTAAGCTAAGAAGTATATACATAAATAATTATTGAATAAAGTGAATCAGTGAAATAACTGGTTTCTTAAAATGTTGAACGGTACTTTTTGAAACCTAAAATGTGAAAAATACTCCTAGAAGCACCAAAAAATAACGGAAACTTTTTGTTTTCAGATAAGATCTGTGATCAAATTAGTGATGCTGTTCTTGATGCGCACCTGAAGCAGGATCCAAATGCCAAAGTCGCATGCGGTGAGTGCGTCTGGCTTTTTATAAAAGGGCTGAACAGCATATTCAGTATTTTTTTACCAGTGAAAGACTGTTGCACTTGGAACTGACTGCGTTCAATCTATGTCCCAATGCAGAAACGGCTGCAAAGACTGGAATGATTCTCCTGGCTGGGGAGATCACATCCACTGCTGCAGTTGACTATCAAAAAATTGTTCGCGAAACAATCAAGCACATTGGCTATGATGATTCATCAAAAGGTGAGTAGATTGAATGCCCGCTAGGCTAGCTACCTTTTTGTGTTCCACCGTCGATCAGGAAGCTTTTGGTTTTGAACTATTTAACTTTTTCACCCTGAGGTTAAACTTTTATGTGTTTTAGGCTTTGACTACAAAACGTGCAATGTGCTGGTTGCTCTAGAGCAGCAGTCTCCCGACATAGCTCAGGGCGTGCATCTTGACAGGAAGGAAGAAGACATTGGTGCCGGGGACCAGGTTGGTATTCAGGCCTTATCGATTAATGATAAACTGGAACCTAATGTGAATTCCTAGCCCTGGCCTGTTTTGAGTCTGAAGTTTATTCTCCGCCTGTCGTTCTTGCTTCAGGGTTTGATGTTTGGTTATGCTACCGATGAGACCGATGAGTGCATGCCCCTGACTCTTCTCCTTGCACACCAGCTGAATGCAAAACTGGCAGAACTCCGTCGAAATCATATTTTGACTTGGCTGCGACCAGATTCGAAGACCCAGGTAACGATGGTTGGAATGGCGAAGTGGGAAGTCCCGCTGTAGGCAAGCTAAAGATTCCTTTTTGATCATTAAAAGAGACGTGCTCCTTTTGGCTCCATTTCAGGTGACGGTTCAGTACAAACAGGATCGTGGTGCCGTCATCCCCATTAGAGTCCACACGATTGTCATTTCCATTCAGCACGATGACAGAATTGGACTGGATGAGATGAGAGATGCCCTGAAGGAGAAAGTGGTCAGAGCCGTTGTGCCTGCAAAATACTTGGATGATGATACTATTTATCATCTGCAACCTAGTGGCCGATTTGTGATTGGCGGTCCCCAGGTATGTCAACAGTTGGATTTTTGTTTGTTGTCTGATCTTGGACACACAGTGTATTGGCAGCTATCTGAAATGACTACACTGGGAACGTTCAGAGTCCCTTGGCAGTAGTTTGTAACAAAGCCAGGCCTTTGTAAGGTAGCAGAGATGTCCAGTCTCTTCTTAAAAGCCTCCAGTGATGGAACATCCACAACTTCGGAAGGGAAGCTATTCCACACTGGTTAATTGTTCCCACTGTCAGGAAATTTCTCCTTAGTTCTAGGTTGCTTCCTTTTATTCAGTTTCCATTGCTTCTTTTGCAAATCTTACCTAAGATGTGCACCAGGATTGTGTAATAAACACAATTGTTGTTTTAGGGAGATGCTGGTTTGACTGGCCGGAAGATCATTGTTGACACTTACGGTGGCTGGGGAGCCCATGGAGGAGGGGCTTTCTCTGGAAAAGACTACACAAAAGTTGACCGCTCGGCTTCTTACGCTGCTCGCTGGGTTGCCAAATCCCTTGTAAAGTCTGGCCTGTGTCGACGAGTGCTCGTTCAGGTATGTTTCTTGGGAGCCAAAAGGGGCTGGGATTAGTTTCATTCAGACAGATTCATCTTGCCGTTGTTCCCTTTTGGGGATAAGCAGTGCTGTGAAAGTGCAGAAAGAGATTACATTAAGTAGCCCAAGGGATTAATGCCATAATACAGGGAAAGGGAATAAGCCCATGCCTTTTATGGTTTTGTAAACTGCTTGTTTCCATCCTGCTTATATGCTACATCTAGCCTTTTGCACTTACTGCTTCTGACCATGGTGAAGTTCATCAACTCCAGCAATTTCCTTGGCCTCGCCCTGCCTCTCACCCTCTTATATTCATTGGGGAATCTATTCATTCTTGACTGTTGACTTGTTTTGTTAAACCTTTTAAAATACTCACGTTGCATTGAGCTTCTGTTTTACTCCCTCCATATTCATACTTTAATATCCCTTACAAAAGCAAAAAGTCATAGGCACTTGTTCCCTCCATTTTCCCTTCAAAGTTCAACTGCTTTTGTCTTTTATGTAATTTTGAGATCCATGCTCTGTGCCGTGTCATCCAGTATCGACTACAGATGGGTTAGAGCAGTGGTTCTCAACCTGTGGGTCGGGACCCCATTTGGGGTCGAACGACCATTTCACGGGGGTCGCCAAACAACGCAGTCCGCCATTTTTTTCCCCTTTTCCTTAGCTGTGCTACTCCCTTTTATTCTATTGGCTTTTGAAAGCCAATAGAATAGACTCTCTTGAATAGAGTCTAATTCTATTGGCTTTCAAAAGCCAATAGGAATTGTCCAGGCTGTCTCTGCCCTGCTGAGCCCGCCAAAAGTCCCATTCTGCAAACGGTGCTGCACCACTTGAGTAGTCCTCGACTTACGACCGGTTGAGTAGTCCTCGACTTATGACCGGTTGGGGGGGGTCACGGCACTAAAAAGGTTGAGAACCACTGGGTTAGAGTTTTTTGTCAGCAGACATGACATTGCCCGTATTCCAAAATACAATATTTAGTTTTGAAATAACAGCACTGAAAGCACTGATGAGTAAAGAGGAGAGTTTCTGGAAAAAAAAAACATGGAAAAACGCGTTCCATAATTTTGGAAGCAATAGCACAAGAGGGGGTTTTCTGTTCCTGTGGCTGACTCTCTGTATTCCTTCCTACTTGTATTTGCTTGCAGGTCTCTTACGCTATTGGAGTCGCCCACCCAATATCGGTCTCTATTTTCCACTATGGCACTTCTCAAAAAACCGAGCATGAACTGCTGGACATTGTGAAGAAGAACTTCGATCTTCGCCCAGGGGTCATTGTCAGGTAAAACATGGTAGCGCATGTCCATATATGAACAGGGAAAATACATGGGGGCTAGGAAGGAGGGGATTAGGCATAGACGAGCAATGGCCAGTGGGCAAGTCTGCCCTCAGTGTGCCAATACAACAATGTGTCCTTCCTTCTGCCTCTACGAGGATACAGAGGAAATCGGCCTGCCGAGCACGGCGTGTCTTGGTGTGTGGTCACAGGAGATGGCTACAGTATCAATCAAATCAGAGGTGATGTCCCTGCATTGTGGTGGGGGGGATGCGCACTTCGATGCCTTTAGCTCGCAGCAGCATGCTCTTTGATATGTGGCTGTCAAGCTAGATTAGATATGTAGGTTAATACTACTTTATTGAAAAGTTATAGGAATAGATTCTTGCAAGTCTTGAATGCCCTTCCCTCCTCCTTCAGCCTTTATCTTTGTGAGAGCTAGGAAGGGGGCCGTCTGAGATGTTGACTTACATTGATTCTTCCTCCAGACTCAGATCTTTTTTCTTTAATTTATTTTTTGGTCTGACATTGTCTTGATAAGCAGCTCTTCCTCTTCTCCCTCAAGGCCATTCCCTCTGACCTCTACGGGATAGTTTTGGTGGGATGCTTCCCTCAAAGACTGCTAGTTCATAGAGTAATCGAGGTGGGGGGGGGAGAGGGGGTGGAATTCCTGCAAAGCAAAACATCTTTTGAGAGGCTGACCTTATATACTCTATACTTTTAGGTGGTTGGCTCCTTCTGAACAAGGCCAGAACTGTAGGGGGAATTTACAGACCGTTTTAAATTGCCACGCAGCAAGCCTATGATAATACTTTGAAATAACTCCATGATTAATATGGTAATTGCAGCTTATATGGGTTTCATATACTGATTGAGCTGAGGCAATGGAGTTGTGGGTTAATTCCTTTTCAGAGACATGGGAAATATTGCTGATAAGTTAAACCTTAGTTACCTTTTTTTGTTCAGGGGCTAACCATCCTAGGTAGAACTTTGTCGTGAACTTGGGGAAGCTTAGCTCTGCAGACAGGTAGCGTAGCTTTGTGCCTATTATCTGTCAGGGAAGTGGAAGTCTCTGTATTGAGGTGGGCTGATGTTGAGATAGGAAGTATCTCTTCTGTGGTTTGCCTGGGAAGTAGACATTCCTAAGTAGAAGGTAAGTATGTTATGCTCTCAGTTTGAGCCCAGGGGCTTAGATTTCCAAGACGCACATTGGCAATGCTGTTTGTGACCCTAAAATGGTTCATCTTGCCTCTTGTAGAAGGATGACGGTCTCTGGGGCCAAGAAGCGTTGGCTGTCCCCACTAATCAGCGGCCCCCTGGGATGTAGGTGCTTTATGCTTTGTTTGGGTGAATGCTGTGTATTGAGTTACGGACTTGTATATTCCAGGGAGCTGGATCTGAAGAAGCCTATTTATCAGAAGACTGCAGCCTATGGTCACTTTGGTAGGAACAACTTCCCCTGGGAAGTCCCCAAAAAGCTTAAATACTGAATATATATGTTGGGCTTCTTTCCCCAGACCTGTTGGTGTACATTACAGAGAAACCTTCAGGCTCCTTTGCGGGAAAGAGCCCCAGTCCCTCAATTGGTCCTATCCCCCTCTGCTCTTAAAACTTGGCACACTGTTCATTACCAGGAATCTCAGTCCTCTGGGGACCGCAAATCGCACTGTGCTTTCTCCTCTGCCTGATGTGCTTGACGTACAAGTAGAGCCAGTTGAGCCTAGGCACCGTACAAAAATCCATAGAGAGAAGGAAGGCTGTAACCAAAACAGTGCTTCGGCCTAACCTTTTGCATTGCCCAAAAGGCTTAACCTTACCTTACCTTCAGAAAGAAAAAAAAAAAATCCCAAGAAACTTCCCTTGTGACGTGTATGCAGTCTGTGGTGGTTTCACTTCTGCCCAGGTGGTTAGAGCAGGGGCAGTGACTGTCGAGGCCGCCTCCTCCTCCATTGATTTCCTAGGAGCAGCGGTTGCCCAAGCAGAGAGCCTTGCGTGTTAACACAACTCCTGTTTGGAACTCCCGTGAAGTTCTTACAAGTTTCTTTTAACACAGGCAGTCCCGATTCGGTGCTTTTAAATTCCGTCAACATCACATTGTGATCCTTTTCTGCTGCTTCGAGGTTCTTTTTTTTTTTTTAATCCTATGCAGTTTTAGCACTAGCCAGACCTCATTTCCCTCCTTATCAAATGGGCACTGGGCAATCTTGGTATACTTTAGACAGGTCAGAAGATTGTATCCAGGACCTGTAGGCTGCACACTTTGGGCACCTGGTTTTTTTTTTTTTTTTTTTTTTTTGGTTAGAGCCAAGAACTTCATGTTGCACAAATTTTTCCCAGTTTACTTTCACAATCAAGTTCCAAACTGCATTCTGAAGGATTGGCGTAGCTACAGAGAAGCCAGTTCCCCTTCAGAGTACACGTGCAATTGGGAAGGTTGTGGGAAGATACCTACGTACTTGAAACTTTTTAATAATTGCTTATTTATTGTGTTTGGGATGGGGTGTGAGTACAGAGAAGCCCTTGTCTCAAATGGCAGCTTTTAAACTTTACTTTGACACCATGAATTCCTTGACAGTTCCCAGCATTCCCTGATAGGCCAAGGTGTCCTACAGAAAAGCCTTGGGTGTAACCTACAGGGGGTCTGGCTTGTGTAAAACAGGGGAGGGCAGTGCTGGGGGACCTGACCTTGGGAGAGGCTAACTTGGTTGGTGTTGTACAGAGAAGCCAGCTTGTTTACTTGCCCATCCCACGGTCAGCATCCTAAACAGGAAGTGCCTTTTGCGTTCCACTTTTTTTTTTTTTCTGGGCGTTTTACTACATATGTCTGGTTCTTGAAATTCCACATTAAAAAACTTAATAAAGTGCTAGGTTCTATCTTAAATGATCATATGTGTATGGTTTGATTTGTTTTTTAAAAAGTAAAGTTTTCCCCTGTCCAATCACGTCCGATTCTAGTGGGTAGTGCTCATCTCTGTTTCCTAGCTGAGAGATCCAGCGTTGTCTGAAGATGCTTCCCTGGTAATGTGGCTACTATGACTATACGCCAAGGCGCATGGAACGCTGTTACCTTCCCACCAAAATGGCACCTGTTTTATTTACTCACACTTGTCTCACAGTAGTTGAGCCTCAAATTGCCAACCTTTGATCAGCAACCCAGCATGTTAACTGCTGGGGTTTGGCTAAAAGAATAGCTTGCTCAACAGCGGGTCTTACTTCCTGCTGCTTGACTGATTTTCATGAGCTAATAAAGAAGTGGAAGATAATATTGAGTAAATGACATTTAAACCTGGCTAAAACACATTCCCTAGATAAGAATCTGTCTCAAAAGCTATGTGTAGGAGATTGCCTCTCCTAGTTGGTAACGTTAGGTGAAATGTTCCCCTCTGTAATGCTGAATAGAACAAGAGATAATGATTTGAAGAGAGTTTGGTTTGTTTGTTCCTGGAACAATCTCCAAAGCCGAGATACAGCTTTCTGGCTGTCTGAACGCAGAGACCTGGTCCACTTATTCACGAGTGGCTTGTGTCTAATGTTACTAGATTTTTTTAAAATCCTGCCTATCCTGACAGTGAAAATAGATAGTACTACTTCTATTTTCCCCACAATAACAAGCACCTCAACTACTACACCAAACTAGCTCTCTTAACATTGAGTACAGCATCACAAGATTAAAGGCTGGGTTTTACAGCTTGTTTGGCGTGAACCGCGCCTGATTTGGAAAGCGTGGCTGCGGTGACTCCAACATAGATGTCACGTCACGGCACATTACTCGGTTCTTCCCTGAGGGACTGCTCTCTCCGACCTTTTCCCCATCTTAAATTCACGGAGGAGGGAGTTGAAACCTGGTTTTTGCTGTTATTTAAATGAAAGCCTGGGACCCAGGATACATCAACTCCTCTCAAGAAAAGTGCTGTGAATATTACTTGGGACTGAATAGGGGACGATAAGCAGTAACAAAAGTTAACGTTTTAAAAAGCAGGTGGAAGCAGTCGCTTTTGTGAGATCTTGTTCTGGATTTATCTTGTTCAGGTAAGCACACCTGCATCAAACGGCCACCAATATGCAAATCAGCTTTGGGGGAGGGGGGGCTAATTGAGGAAAGTTTCACACTCCTATAGGAGACCAACATTTCTCAGCAACTGTTGGGAGAGCAACTTTGGGGCACAGAAATGGTTAAGGGATGAAATGCAGGTAATCCTCGGCTTGAAGACATTTCATTTAGTGACCGTTTGAAGTTACGATGGCATTGGGGGGGGGAAGTGACATGCCTGTTTTTCACATGACTTGCAGCATCTTCATGGTCGTGATTAAAATTTAGATGCTTGGCAACTGACTCAACGGTCGCAGTGTACAAACTTAACAAAATTTTGGGGTCAATTGTGGTTATGGTTATAAGTCGAGGACTACCTGTAAATGGACTTTAAACTGGCGTTTGGCAGCATCTTTTCCAATTGATGCTTTTCATTAAATGGTGTTAAAGCCTTTGGACCTTTTTTGTTTTTGTTTTGGCCACCCTAGGATGAAATGTCTTCAGAAATTTACCTTCTATGCATTTCTGCAAATAAAAAAACACCCAGTAAACAAAAGGATGAGTTTTGCAATCCCCTATTGATTTAAGCAACTCCTGTTCCCCACAGAGGACAAGGCTTATAAAGGTCAACAACTTCTGGGCAGCTCCAAAGTTCAAAAATGACCGTTTATAGCACCTTTAAAAAAAAAAAAATTCCAGGAGTATCTTGCTCCTTTCCGTGCTTGTTTCCCCTGTGGAATTCGGGTGAAAGGTTGGATTGGCTTGACTGGCTATATCTGCATTGACGCAATATAACGTCACCCAGGGTTCTTCCTCAAGCGCTATTAGCACGGCTGCAAAACTCCCGATTGCCACTAGGGGGGGCGGCGGCTCCGAGGCAGCTCGGCGGCTTTCTCTCGCCATCTGACGGTCTCACGAGGTTCTGCAGCGTTTTAGCTCCATAAACGACCAACAACGGGCAGTTGATCCCCGCGCCTTGACTTGCTAGTTCTAAATTAAGGCAGGGGTGCGCCCGGACGCCTCCCCACAATCGGGATGCCCGGACAAAACGGAGCGTCCGGCCACCTCCTTAAAGAAGGAGTGATGTGTCGCCTTCTCGACTCAGGTGACTTTTGTCCCGATGGAATGGGGCCCCAGATTCCTCCTGCGTCGGGCCTCGTGACTACAAAGCCCATCGATCTGCCGAAGCCCCTTACAACGCTGGAGAGCGAGAGGTCTATATATTGTGCCAGTCCCCTACATTTGGTTTCTCCTGCGCAGGGGCAGCATCCTAACTTCAGGAGACTTGAATGCAAAATTCAATGCCAATAAATCTTACCATTTAAGTTGCCCATGATTAATTCCAAGATTTATTTAATTAGTGTATTTATTAGAGGACAATGACCTGATTCGGAAGGTTCCAATATTCCTTTCTGAAACGTTTTTTTTTTTTTTTGTTCTTAACGCCCTTTCTGAATTGGAAGTGAAGCTGCAACCTCCAAGCAAGTATTGTGAAATAAATCCTACGCGCCCGCGGAATTGCCATTTTTTTTTCTCCACCACCGCCGCCCTCCTCCGCGCCCATTAAAACAAGCGGCGGAAACGCTCCATTTGAAGGCGAAACCGTAGGCCTAGTGCGCGGTTAAAAAAAAAAGGCTGCGCAGAACCCGCGCGAGACCGACGGCGCTAGTTAAGATCGATGCGCCTGCGCCCTGAGGCCGTGTTCGGCGAAGGGCGTGGCCAAAGCCGGCCCTCGAGCGTTACGCCTGCGCGGTGCGCGGAAACGAAGGGGGGGAGACCTTCAGCTTGACAAGAAGGGACGGTCAGGTGGCGGCGGCGGAACAGGCTGAGGTGCGGCCGGTGGGCCGGTGAGGTGGCCGGTGGGCCGGTGAGGTGGCTGGCGGGGGGCGGTTCCCTGGCTCGCCTTCGCTTTGCGGGAAGGACGTCGCCCATCTCCCCCTCACGGGCAGCCCGAGGCTGTGGAACCCGGAGGGGAGGCGAAGGCCTCGATGGGTCTGAGGGCTCTGGGGTGGGTGTGGGGTGGGTGTGGGGGGGTGAACTCTCTTGTGGCAATTATTCATCTCGGCTATCTTCCTCTGTTGTGGGGGGGGACGAACGAGGGGCGAGGCGGGGGGGCGTTTCTGGGATTCAAATCGGGGAGACATTAGGAGCCCCTTAGGCGCCCCTCCCCCCTCCTCCACGTGCTAAAGGCTGCGGGCACCTGGTGCCTCTGCAGGTTGTGCAACTGGAGTTCCCACTGAGCCTCTCCAGTTTGTCCAGTGGTGGGATGGATGCTGGCTGAGCCGCCAGCCCTGAACGATGGGCAACAGGGAGGAGGAGATAGGAGGAAGCTGCGTTAATTACGGGTTCGCCCCCCATTGAGCTCTTTGTAAAAAAATAATACAAAGCGGGATATAAATGAATGAAACAAAGCGTGATGGGAAGGTGTGTTTTAGATACGTTCGCCAGCTTGAGTTCTTTGGAAAGAAAAACGGGGTGCAATTCAATCAGTCGGTCCAAGCGTGATTGCTAAGTCAAAACTCAACCCATGAGACCTCACCTTGAGGGGAGGGCTGGGGTGGAGGCTGGGGCATCCCATGAAGTCACAATGGGCATTGTTTACTGTGGCTTGGTAGGTGGCTCCTAAGCCATTTTGGTTTATTAACCTGGGGGTTTGGTTTTGAGTATGTTGAGGGCCTAAGGCTGCCATGGAGGGGCAGCAGGGAGGGAGCACAGTCATCTCTGTGCAAGATGGGTAGGTTCCAAAGCCAGTTCTTCAGATGTGTTTGCTAGGAATTGCCGTTCTGACATGTCTGGGAAAGGATTGGTTATAATATTGGATTAGAATTGGAGAGGCTTGGGCTGACAATGAAACTGATCATAATCGGAGAGACTAGATTGAGGTTCAGTCCCTTGTGTAGCAAAGAGACCCATTGAGCAACCTGCAGAAAGTGTTTTTGAACCTAGCCTTTCTGACAAGGGTGGCTCTACAGATCAGCATTGGAGGGACCAATAATAGTGACTTGGCTTCTTGGCAAGAAAGGTAAGGTAGCAGAATATCATAAATACAGCTATGGAAAGGCTATCGATTGCCTCTTAAGTTTTAAAATATAGAATTTAAGCTGTCTTAAATTAGGCCAGATGTCTGTCCATCTAACTTGGTTTAATGTAGAATTTCCCAATTTGATGCCATCTGGGCCAGTAGATTGGGCTACTACCCTGACTTCAACTAGCCTGACCATTGGGCAATTGGGCTTGGTTTATTTTTTAATCTGAACTTTCAGACATATGGTAAGATAAAAACATTTGAAGAATGTCTGCTCCAAGCAGCAGGTGACCAGCATGCTTATGTAAACTAGTTTATGGTCATTTTTAAAGAGGATGATAGGACTTAGTGGGAAGGTGGTATAAATAATATTGGAATTACATCCTTCAAAATAGCTTTGAGTAGCATGTATTCATAATATTTATAAAGCGACCCAAATGGATTCATGACTCTGATGGCATACATTAAATAAAATCCCAAAGAAAATACTGTATTGCAAAAAAAAATAGCCATACGATATCAAGAACATAAATCCAGAAATCCATATAAGCAACATACAACCGGGACTCTCCAATTATGTACTCCCATAAGATTGTCTCATCCATCATTTTAGTTTAAGGGAGTGGGGGTCAAAGCCACATTTTAAAATCTTGAAGGCTTACAAGGTTCAGGCCAAAAAGAGCTTTTTGGTTGAATAGAAATCTCGCTATTTATCACATGTATATTTTGCCTTTTTATCAGGAGCTCAAGAACTAAGTACTCCCCATTCTATCCATCACCTTATGTCATTCTCAGTTTGGTCAAACATTTTGAAATTTGAAAATGAAGAA